ATCCGTATCTTTCATTTTCACAGGAACATGCTGGTCCTTCCTGAACTCTAATCAACTGGCTTTTAAAAGATTCCCATGTGGTTTAACCCTGAAATAGTCACACTCCTGCCCCCCGACCCGCAGTCTGCATTCCCCAGTTCCTGCCAAACATTGTCGTAGTTAGCCTTCCCCCAATTTAATACTTTTACCCGAGGACTACTCTTATCTTTATCCATAAGTAATTTAAAGCTGGTGGAATTATGGCCACTGTTCCTGAAATGCACCCCCATTGAAACTTCAATCACCTGGCTGGGCTCATTGCCAGTAGCAGGTCTAGTATGGTCCCTTCCCTGCTTGGACTATTTACACATTGCTTCAAGAAACCCTCCTGGATGTACCTAACAAACTCCACCAACCTCCCCAGCCCCCAAAGCCCTGGCACAAAACAAATCCCACTCAACATTTTTCCATAATCTGACCACATATCTGTTCCTCTTATCTTCCACTGGCTGTTAGGAGGCCTGTAGTACAACCCATCAAAGTGACTGCACCTTTCCTATCCCTGAGTTCTATTCATATGGCCTGCACTAAACGAGCCTCCATGGTGTCCTCTCTTAGTACAGCTATGACATTCTCCCTAATCTGTAACACAACTCCCCCATCTCTTTTACAACCCTCTCACACACACCTAAAACATCTAAATCCCGGAACGTTAAGCTGCCAGTCTTATTCCACTCTCAACCAAGTCTCTATAATAGCTACAACACCACAGTTGTATGTACTAATCCAAGTTCTAAGTTCATCTGCCTTACCTGTCATACTCCTCCCGTTGAAACAAATACACTTTAGACCGCCGATCCAGCCATATTCAGTTACCTCTTTGTTCTTCCTCTTAGCCTTTCTCACATTAGTCTCAGACTTCTTAGTCATTTCACTTGCTTGACTTGCTCCTCTAATTCCCACCCCACTGCACATTAGTTTACACCCTGTCAAATGACACTAGCAAACCTCGCTGCCAGGATATTGGTGCACTCCAGTTTAGGTTCAACTAGCCTTTTTGTGCAGGTCCCATCTTCCCTGGAAGTCATCCCAATGATCCACATATTTGAAACCCTCCCTCCTACACCTGCTCTTTAGCCATATATTTAACTGTACTATATTCCTGTTCTTAGCCTCACTGGCACCTGACACAGGGAGTTTCTGAGATTACACTCCTAGAGATCTTGGTTTTTAATTTGCTATGCAACTTCCTGAGTTCCCTTTGCAGGACCTCATCACTCTTCCTGCCTATGTGATTAATACCTTATTGACTCCATATTCTATAAGCATATCCCCTAGTTCAAAATTCCACCTCTATTGGTGATATCTTCTCAATGTCTACTCAGAATCTTATATATTTCAATAAAATAACCTCTCATTCTTCTAAATGCTAATGAATAATGGCCTAACCTGTTTAACCATTCTTGATAAGCCAACCTCTTCATTCCTGAAATCAACCACGTGGATCTCCATTGCTATTGTATTTTCTCTTAAATATGTGGAACAATTCTATGCACTGTACCCCAGGTGTATCCTCACCAACATCCTATACATTTGTAACAAGACATCCCTATGTTTAACAAGGAAAAAAAATGCAGATGCTGTAAATTAGAAACAAAAACAGAAATTGCTGCAAAAGCTCAGCAGGTCTGGCAGCATCTGTAGAGAGAAATCAGAGTTGTATCCCTATTTTAAAATTGCAAACCCCTGGCAACAATGGCAAAAATTCCATTTGCCTTCTTAATGATTTGCTGCAAGTACATCTGAACGTTTGTATTTCTTGCGGTAGAACACCAAGATCCCTCTGTGCTACATTTTGTTTAGAGGCTCTCTCCATTTAAATAATAGCCTGTCATTTCATTCTTCCTACCAAAGTGCATGACCTCATTTTATTATATTGAACTTCATCTGCCACGCTTTTAACCACTGACTCAATCTAACTACATCCCTTTTGCAGATTGCTCATGTCCTTATTACAACATGCTCTGCCACCTATTTTTGCATTTTCAACAAATTTGGATGTATTACATACTTCACCCATCCTGCAAATCATTAGTATCAGTGGAACTGTCTCCCTAATGACATTGTGGTTGTACCTAAACCAAATTGACTGCAACAGTTCAAGAAGGCAGTTCACAACCACCTTCTCTAGGCAACTAGGCATGGGCAATAAACGTTCACCCGACCAGCATCACCACCATCCAATGAATTGAGGACCTAGGACTGATCCGCTTGGCACTCTTTAATTATATCTTTCCAACTATTTGAAAAGACCCGTTATTCCTCATGCTTAGTCTTTTGTTTGCTAACAAATCTTAATCCATGCTATTACGTTACTCCCAATATCATGAACTCCTGTCTTGTGCAATAACCTTTTATTTGGCACCTTATTGAATGCCTTCAGAAAATCTACGTGCATTACATTAGCCTTATCAATTCTGCTTGTTATATTGTCAAAGCACACTCGCAAATTTGTCAAATGTGATGTCTCTTTCGCAAAACCAGACTGACTCTGTTAGATTGTGTTAAGCTTTTATCAATATCATTTCTGCTGGTCAGAGTCATGCTTGGCACAAAGGAAATGGGTTACGGTTGTTGGAGATCAGTCACCTCTGCTCCAGGACGTCACTGCAGGAATTCTAGAATGTGTCAAGACTCATAGCCTTTGTAATATCCAATGTCTCCAGCTATTTCTTGATATTGCATGGAGTAAACTGAATGGGCTGAAGACTGGCATGAGCGATGCTGGGACCTCTGGAAAGATACCTAAAGGTATTCTTGTTGAAGGGTAAATATCTTTGAAACTGAAATCAGTCATCTACATGGATGTCCTAGCTTTTTCTCCTCACGGTGATGAAAGCAGCTCCCAGATTTACACCAAGTGGGACCTCTGCTATGAGACATGGGACACTTTGGCAAGGCTGATGACAATCAATAGGAGACAGTTGGCATGAGCCTTCAAAGACAGCGATGGTGCAGGCAGGTGAAAGAACAGCTCAATTTCCTACTAATCAAACAGTCCTAATGTCCCATCCAGTCTGGTACACCTTGAGTGCACGGAGCACGGTTAGGTGCTCCTGAGCCCCATTGGCCAATCCCATAATGTGCTGATCATACTGGTCACTGTGCTTTCCAAGAATGCCTGAATATTTCTTAAAACATTTGACAACATCACAGGTATTCTCAACCTCCTTACTCTCGCTGGAATATTGATTACATAATGAACCAGGAGAAACCTCATGATATGAAACATGTGATTGAGGACAGATTGAGAAAGCTCAATGTAGTGATGATTGGAGGTGTCTAAACCTTGAAAAATAGAGAACTAGATTTTATGGTTAAGAGTTATGGGGAAAGAGCAGGAAAGTGGAGTTGAGGATTATCAGCTCAGGCATGACCTCATTGAATTGTGGAGCACGGTTGATGGTCTGAATGGCCTACTTCTGCTCCTACATCTTATGATCTTATGCTAATGGATCTTTAGCTTCATTTCTATATTCCTGAACCGTAGTAATCTACTTGATGGTAACCTCGTTCTTGCTGTTAGGGGTCCAATCTTTCCCCGTGATCCAGATGATGTGATCAACAAAGGACAATTGTCGTTACTAAGCCTCTTCAATTCCATCCAGACATTTCTTTCACTCACAGTTCACTTGGACAGTCCTGTCCTTTGTTGATTCGAAGGAAGGATCCAGAAGAGTGATGCAGTTAAACAACTTCATCAGCTTCAGGGAGATGGAGATCAGGTCCTCACCTTCGGCTGTATCTATAAATTTCATTTGATTGCATTATCGCCAACATCATCCATCACTTTGCTGATGATCAAGGGTAGACTGAAGGCTATTTGTGGATTGGCTTTGTTCTGCATTTTCTCAATTTGGCATTAAATTTACCTGAAAATCAATGGTCAGGAAGAAAACAAATCAGGTCAAAGGGGAAAAAATAAAGTCCTGGTTGATCTACTTAGATGATTGCAACCAGGAGATAACTTGGACCAAGTCTGAACTATTTATTGAAATAATTTGTAATCTTGGCTGTGAACTTAGTCAGACTGACCCAGTGATCCAATTGCATTATATTTTTGATCACCATCTGGAAGTCAGTGCCTTCAAAGTGTGATTTGTAAAACTTTATAATTTCTTCTAGTCTTATTATAGATCCCATAAGAGAAAAGCTAATGTATAGAAGTGATGTAAGTAGCATTCAGGGTGGCATAGTAGCTCAGTGGTTAGCACTGCTGTCTCACAGCGCCAGGAACCCGGGTTCGATTCCACCCTCAGGCGACTGTCTGTGTGGAGTTTGTACGTTCTCCCTGTCTACATGGGTTTCCTCCGGGTGCTCTGGTTTCCTCCCACAGTCCAAAGATGTGCCAGTCCAAAGATGTGCAGGGTAGGTGGATTGGCCATGCTAAATTGCCCATTGTGTTTCAGGGATGTGTAGATTAGGGGGATGGGTCTGGGTGGGATGTTCTGAGGGTTGGTGTGGACTTGTTGGGCCGAAGGGCCTGTTTCCACACTGTAGGGATTCTATATAACATGCAATGTCACTTCATTCAGAAAAGGCTATACAAACTAACATTGTGGATTGCTATGATTGGAGATTTGAACACATTAAAATTGAATTGAACATTCTCAGCATGAAAAGTTTGCTAGAATACCTAACAGTGTGGAAGCAGGCCATTCAGCCCATACCAACCCTCCAAAGAGCATTCTACTCCTCCCGTAACCCTGTATTTCTCATGGCTAATTCACCTAACCCGCACATCGTGGACCTTACGGGCAAGTTTTTTTTTTAAGCACAGCCAATCACCTAATCTGCACATCTTTGGACTGTGGGACGAAACCAGAGCACCCAGATCGTGCCTGCACAGACACAGGGAGAACGCGCAAACATCACACATACAGTCACCCAAGGGTAGAATTGAACCCAGGTCTCTGGTGCCGTGAGACAGCAGTGCTCACCACTGAGCCACTCTGCCACCTTGAAAGTAGTGGATATTACAGTTGATTAGAAAACTATCCTGTGAACTACAAAATCACCATCTAATTCTAGCTCAGAGTGACTATTCCAAATATATTTCTGTTGCTTGTGTGCCTTCATGGAAACTGGTTTAAAAAATTTCACTTTATGTTTTTATCACTCGTGATCTTGCAGCTTAAATTTGTGTACAATTCAACACAAATTGCTAATTGCAACTCAAAATTCTGAAACAACTGACACAAAATAGAGGCATAGTTTTTTTACAGTCAGAATTATCTGTTTGGAGCATATCCACATACTCAGTTTTACCTTGTATTTTTTATTGAGTTGTGCAATGATGATGGTTATAAAGCGTGGAACAGTGTTCCATTTATTTTCATGGATAGTGTTTCATTGAGATGATAGTTATGCAAACCATGTGTTAATAACCAGAAAGGAGACTGACGCCATAATCTGTTGAAATTTAAAATTACAGGCGGAATCTTGTATAGGTCCGAGCGGCATGGGCTGTGGCAACACGTGAGATGGAATTGATGACGGGTCTAGCAAGGCCGAACTCAAATTGAAAGCATTTCATGCCATCTTTTTATGTTTTTCGTAAACAACATGGTGAATATCTTGCTAGGCAGCAGCAACTTGCCAATTAAAGGGGATTATTGGTTGTTAAATTCCTTATTAATGAATCAACATGCCTCGTTAATATTCAGCTTCCTTACTTAGCAAACTCGCCAACCAAGCTAGATGTTGAGAAAACTCAATGTAGAAACCTGGTGAGTTCAGTTCCCCGCTTGTTTCGAATGGCTTCTAAGTTGGACATCGGGCACTAACATGTCAGGTATGCTTCATGGGCACTGCACTCCATATCCATCGACAATGACATCTGATATGTGTCAGCCGCTACGAATGCTCATGGCACATCTCCAGCCCAGACACAGGAATCTTCTGCACTTCAATGCTGCACTGAAAGCTGCACCAGGAACTATAATCATGATGCTACAGTAAGGAGACGTGCCCTCAGAGACATGCCCCCAGCTAATAGACTGGACCAGACTGCATCTCTGGCTCTTTACTTCCTTCCGTAATGCTCTATTTCTCTGAGCCTCCTGAATGCTCACAGCATCCCTAACTTGCATTGCCTTGCCTGGCCTTTTTACAATTTGCACCCTTGGATAGAATGAACAGACTCCAATGATTTCTGTCATGCCTTGCTGTTTAGTGCAAGCATAAAGAAAGAAAGCTTGTTAAGATTGTTAGCAGATTTCAGTCAAGATAAGTGAGATAGCCTTTGCTGAAGGGACCCAGACAGTAAGTCAAGGGCAGCCTCCGATACCAGTCCACTGACTTGGAAATGGTCAGTCAGCCATTTGAGGTGATCGGGGTCAAGGTGCTTTCCACTTAAGGTATGAAGAGCTAAATATTGGACAGCCCAGCTGTCTTGATTCTTTATGCCCCTTTAGGGCTGTTTTTCTCCTGGAACGAGAGACAGGTGTCAATGGAAATGAAAATGGATGGGCCTGTTGATACTTTTAGTGCAGATGGGCATGTGTCCCGAATGAGTGAGTAGGCATCATGGGGTGGGTGGGAGAGAGCGGGAAATGGTGTGTTGACAGAGAGCAAGGGAAGATAAAGCCAGTGGTAGAGCATGAGCCTTGATGGGAGGTGGGTGCAGTAATAGAGTGAGTGTGAGGTGTTGGAGAAAGGATGCTGGCATTTTCGCTGGCTGAGTGGAGAAGGCCATTGATCTTCTTTCTTCTTGCTGTGCATTCCTTCAGACAGCTGTGAGTGCTGTAGCCCAGTATTGAACCAAGCTGGCATGATCTAGTGTCATGACCTCCACTCCTGGTACTGGAGGGAGAGGAAGTCCTGCCTTTGCACTACCACGTCCAGCAAGAGCTCCAGGTGCCAGCCCAAGGAGCAGGCCACCAGTTTCCCCTTGTCTGCCATGTCTGCGGCAAATGTCAGGAATGGTGCAGAGTAGTTCTAGACTGGCAAAACTTATCCGGGTGCACAATGAGCTTTTTAAAGCTGGTGCAGACGCTAGGGATGCGGATGAATTCCAGAATATCCACAGAGTAGCGAGTTGTTCTGAAAATGCCATGAGGGATGCCATAGGGATGGAGTAGGTAGTTACTGAGGTGAGTTTGGCAAGATATGGCAAAAGAACCTGTAGTTCTCACAGCAAAACAAACCTCAAAAAAACCTACAATTCGGATTTAGCCAATAAAACCTAACATTCAGCCCTATGTAGTTTTTTATTCTTCAAATGTAATATCGACTTATAACGATTAAAACTGTGTTGAAAGCTGAATTGATATTTGTAATCTCTCAATATTCCATTTTCTTTCTTTATGTAGCAATAACATGTGGCAATCCTGGGGAGATTTTGAATGGATATTATAATGCGTCAAATGCTGAATTTGGAAGCACAGTTTCATTTTACTGTAACACTGGGTAATTATGCAGTGCACAAATAATTTAAATTTTATTAATTAAATTGTCTTAAACAGTAATCAATCTGTTTCTAAGCTTCGATAATAGCTGTACCATGTTCTCTGTATCTGCCCCTAAGAACATCATTCTCATTGTAGTTTCCAACAAACTTGCAGTTTCAGTGCTTTGTAGTACTGTTGTTGGGAGATCTCATGACTTCTCTGAAAGTCATTCTGTTTGATATTTGGGGTCAAATCTTCTTCTATACAATTTAAGAGAGACCTCGTTACAAACCAATAGTATTATTACTTAAGATTTGTAAATTATTTAAGGTGGAGTGTAACGCCCTAGCTCATATAACAGATTGGAATCAGATATTTATTTCAGTTAAACAAGCAGACATACAAATTGAGATGGAATAAATTTGGACAATTTGCACAGTCAGTTGATCAAATCCATGAAATTCTGAACATTTAAGTTCTCTCATCATAATTCCACCAGGTAACTGATAGGATCCTAGAGTTATGGGGCACGAATGTTTTTTTTTCTGATATTCCCACTCAAATCCTACTGGAATTGCATCAGGAGTCCACTAGAATGTATTACAGAATTTGAAATTCAGTGCCTTTCAAGTTTAATTTGTGTCCATTGTGTATCTTTTTTCCACGTGGTGAGTTAATATTTCAGCAACCACCTTCTCCCAATTTGTGACTAAACAAATTCTCGAAGTTACTTATAAATCTGAAGTCAAAGTCAACGCTAAAAGTTGACCCCATATTCAGATGCTGACAAAAAGTGTCAGACAGGATGTATACCACCCACCAAACTGGCCAAAGACAAATAACAGGGTAATTTACCAATGCCTGATACAAGTGTTGAGACCTTTCAAATATGCAAATATTTGCTTGCTTGAGATCTCAAATTCACTCTGGGAACCCAACAGTTCAGGGCATCTATGAAAATAAATGTGTTATTTCTCCCTGTAATATGGACGTATAAGAAGCAGGAACACTCCTATAGATCAACATTGAAGGGTCCTCCCAACTGTTCCACCCCTCTTCCATGGAACAGCAATCTCCAACTCAAAAATCCAGGCTGTCCGGTTCCTGGAAATAGAGTATGAAAAGACTTAAAGTTCAGACTAGGGCAAAGATTCCATCATTCCTTGGTTCACTTTTGTACCTCATGACACATTTTCCTGAAACAGGTCAACTTACCAGAGACTACAGCTTTCGTGTGATGGTCCACATTAAGCATAGCTGACCAGGAGCCTCTCCTGCTCTTACTGCATGGCTTAGGTGTACTGAAAAGATTTATAAGGTCAATGTAAATGGTCAGGGAATAGGTTCAGTTATTGGTACATAGATCTTAAAAGTCTTAACATAAAATGCGTGGAACAATTAATAAATGTAAACTAAATTGCCTGTACAGCAATGCGCAGGGCACCTGAACAAAACAGGAGAACTGGAAATACGTCATAGCCAAATGTAATCTGGATGATTGAAACAAAGCTTAATATGGAACAGTGTTGAGAGTTAACTATTACAAGAGATTGGATAGCCCATTTGGAGAGGGCACAATTTGTGACCTGTGTTCACCTGTTCAGATTGAGGTGGGCAACATACAAAACTGTTGTACTCGTTGCTGAATGATTGTTACTTTTATATTTCTTTGTTTAGCATACATGTACTTTATTTGTTTGCGGGAGGACACATGAAGAAAGGGCGGTGGTTTTGCCATATTTAAAACCATTTGTCCCTTAGACCTCAATGGCCTTATTTAACCTGAATCAAACGAGATTCTAGACCTTGAGCTGCTGTTGAGATGCCTCTCCTGGGAGTTGTTGCTGCTAATCTTGCCAATGTGTGGGAGGTTACTGGGAGAGGCTACAGTTCCAGAATTTCTGCTGGGTGTCTACAATATGATAGAGACATCTTGGGTATGTGCCATCATGCAGCTGTGGGTACAATAGCTCTGGAAGGTTACATTTAGGAGTGCCCATTCATATTGCAAAAGAATCCCTTTGGAAGGGCTGAGCAAAGAATGTTGGAACATTTCAGAGGTCCAGGCCAATCCCAGAGTTGGTTCAAACTCTGTCAGTAGCTTTCTCATGGTCAATGTAGACAAATGAATGGAATTCAAGCTGCAGACATGGAAACCTTTGGTCTTGCAGAATTCTTTTCCTAATCACACTCACTAGAATGCAGGGGCTCTTTTTTGGAAAACAAAGAGGATCATCCCAATCTGTTAACATGAGTCAAGAACCAGCATTTCCAATTTCTAATGTAAAACTTCTAACGTAAAAATTCCCACCTGCCTTAAAAACATGTGTTTGTCAGGAAGTCTACAGAAATTTGGTGCCTAGATCTTTAACCTTGATCAGCACAGTCTGCCAATGTTCTATTTAACTTTTGCCTTGGTACACAACAATGGATAATTTTCAGCTTGCTTTCTCTATACTGGTCTGTTTCTTTTTAGGTTCAAGTTAGTTGGTAATGTCCATCGTACTTGTGAAGCTAATGGTTGGAGTGGTCAAACTCCAATATGTGAAGGTAAATTGTGTATTTTTTGTTCCTTGAAGTTAATCAATTGGCTTCCATTTATGAAAGTAATAAACTGTTTTGTTCATTTCATATGGCTAGTTATTTATTCCTGAAAAGTTAAGGTACTACATTTTTGGATGGAGGAATACATTATCAATGGCTTGATACAACTTCTTGCGATGGTTACATCAACTAAAGCTTCTTTAGGTTTTTGAAATTTGAGTATCTTCCATGAAATGATGTTTATCAAGTAATTCAAAATTCTCCTGTAAATTTTCAGCTGTTAACTTGAAGGATTGTAAAGAAACATACCTGAATGAAATGGAACACCAGCATTTAAAGATTCCATTAAGCTTTAGTCATTGGCATCCTCCAAAAATTATATATTCTGGAAATTTAAAGTTATAGTTCACAAATATGTGAAAGGACACCCCAAAAATGAAACTTCTAAATTTGATTTTACATCTTACATTAACTTTTTGTAACAATTAAAAATTTGAATTTCAACATTTAATTAGGATGGTGAATAGACCTGTCATCTCATACGAAGAATTTAGAAGAATGAGAGGCGATCTAATTGCAACATTAAAAAAAAGTAAGATAGGTCATTAATTTTTAGGAATTTCATAATTCTTGACATAGTCAAAGCAAAAAAAACATTTCCCTGGCTGGGCAATCTAACTTGTGGAGCCACAACATTAGATAAAGGGATTGACTATTCAGTACCGATATTAGGAGAAATTTCTTCACCTGAAGGGTTGTGAGTCCTTGGAATTCTGTCCCCAAGATAGCTGTGGGTGCCCATTCCACATACATATTAAAGACAGAGGCTTATATACTTTGGACTACAAAGGGAATTAAAGAAGAGGGCAGAGGGTGGAAGATGAACCATGATCTTGTTATATGTCTCAACAGGCCCATAGGCCAAATAATCTACTCAAGATCCAATCTTGTATGTTCTTATGCTGTTATGAAATGTGTGTGTGTGTGTTTACCTAAATACCACTGCATTTTCATGACAGATACAAAAATTGTGTCTGTCGTTAAATCCAGTCGGGAATTCAGGGGGAATGAAAAAACGTTACCAGGTTGTAGTCAGAATGAGTGAGGAAGAAGTATAATTTTATGTTGATAGGGTTAAATGAAAAGGGATGGGAAAAGGCTCACACAGAGCAGAAAGACTGACATTGAGCTAAATACAGGCTGTTGGTGAAACTCAGCAGCATCCACGGTGTTTTGTTTTTAATTGAACTAAATGGCCTGTTTCTGCATTGTGAAACCTAGTTTAAACAGTTAGCACAATCTTAGTGTAGCACTGAAAAGATTTGGGCTTTAATAGTTCCCCTTTTCCTTCAGTGCATGTGAGGCACCAACTTAAAGCGAAGCAAGCCTAGCAAGCCTTACAGATTTTGTTACAGAAGAGAAATTTTCCTCCCTGACAGCAGTCATCCATCCAGCCTTGGTGAAGGAATCATGGCACCTTTCAAGGACTTGAGCAGTACTATGCATGATTCAATTTTTATGAAGCAGTTGCATGTTCATAGAGTGAATGCCTTTCTATGCATGTACCTATAGTGCAAACAGTTGCACGACAGCGAAAGCATCTGCCATCGCCATTTTGGGAGCCACATTGTGCACAGGAGTTTTTTCTTGAGTACATCCAAATACAATTTTCCTTATCTTGTGAGTCAGTGGCAGCGTAATGGTGGATTCTATTCCCTTATCCCAGTCCCTTTGGAAAAGGGCAACTAAAGCTGGCCATGCCAGTAATGTTTGCTCACCATAATCGAATGTGGGAAAACATGTGTGTTTTGTATTCCTCACTAATATTCCTTCCTGAGATGCCCAGAGGCTTGACAATAACTCCTATTTAGGCAGTGAATAGGTACAGTTCCTTGAAGAAACAGGTTCTAGTAACGGAGATGAAGAGCCTTAAAAACTTACATTCCTGGAAATGCAGCAAAACAGAAATGTTTGTTTTGGAGCAAACGTATCAACTTTAAGGAGCAAGTGCAAACAATTGAGATGGGTGAGATCACTAAGTAAATGATTGTAACGTAAAAATTAATCCATCTACTAAGTGCCCACTTTCTGCGGTACAAGGTCTGAAGCCTTGGTGTAGGCAGCATTTCCTTCTTAATTTCTGTTGGGATCCAAGTTATCCCAGTTCCCAACAGATGGTCGGGCAGTCATCAACTCATGGGTTTTTAAATCATATTTTAAAGAACACTAAGCAGACCTCAGTAGGTGATAATACAGGGCAGCAGTGCTCAATATGCAGCAGTATGACAGAGACCAAAACTTTGCATTATCCGTTATGGTGGTCACTCATTTAGCTTTTTCCATCATTGATAATGTGATAGTTTAGTTGTCTTCATTGGGCTGGAAAATTGGTCCAATGGAGTTCAAGAATTTGCCGTTGGGAATCTGGAAGAGGGAATCCTATATTTGACTCTGTGCTACTCCAAGTTGCTTAAACTTTTAATGCACGCTAGGGTGAACATTCCTTAGGCTTTGATTTGATCTGGTCTCCAAAGTTAGCTCAGCTGTTAGTCTGGATGTGTTTTGATTCCGTCTCAAAGTATTAGCATGAAAGCATTTACAATACTTCCTAACCACAGCCCAAAGACATTAAAACAACAACTTTGCCCCTCCTTGGCAGTGATTTTCAATTAAGAAGCTGTCCATCAATTGTCCTCTTGTCACTTTCCTAACACTGGTCGGTTACTCAATCAAATGTCACTTAGTCACAAAACGTTATTTCTCTATGACATCAGGATGTGACCAGGGGAGCAACAAGTGTTGATTGCCTGTGAATCAGAGTTTCAACATGTTTTTACAAAATACGGGCGGAGACTGAACTTACACGCTGCTCACCTGATTCACATTACAAATGCCTCCCCACCGACCCCGCCCAGGAATTTGAAGATATAGCTTTGACCTTGCAGTCTGTCCCGAATATTAACTTAATTTTGTTCGTCTCCAGTTGTCAAATGTGATTATCTTGAACCGCTTACTAATGGAAGAACTCCATACCCAACCGGTGGAGATTATTGGGAGCATGGAATGGTAGCAGAGTACTCATGTGACCTTGACTATTCATTGATTGGTGCAGAAGAACTTGTTTGTACAGAGACTGGAGAGTGGAACAATAAGCCTCCAATTTGCAAAGGTACTAAATTTTTCCTTCTTCTTTAATTTCTTTCCATTTTACGTGATGTCACCTGATTGTTAATCAGCCTTCTCCTTGTCCTCCTTTTACACTGTGCCAATCCTGTTGCATTTCTTGTCACTGAACCTTTCCATCTACTCTTATACCTTACCCTTCTCTTTTTTTCTGGCAGTTCTGTCTCCAACATTAATATCTCCATATTCCTTCTCTTACCCCTAGTGCAAAGATACTAAACTTTGGAATCAGAATTAAAGTGATTTGCTCTTTTCATGAGAAGCTGGGAGCCTGACTTCTCAGTTGTTTTTGGTCAGGTTAGATTTGGCTCCCACTCTATTTTGAATAAAGAACATTGGAGTATTCTTTGGGAGTAGCTCTGCTGGTTTCCTCAAACACTGCTGTTGCCTTCTGATGGAAATAATATTGGGATGATTCGTGCACAGATGCCGGCTCTTGAAGGCTCACACTTCTGGTCGAGTTTCAATTTGTGTGACTGTAAGAAAATGCATAAAACCCCTTCTTAATGCTTGTCTTTATGTTCAGCAATTGTTTCCATATTCCATAGTACTGTAATGACTATTGCAGTCACCCCGTGCTCTATCCCCATATTCAGACCATTCAGACCAATCAATACAGTTGAGGTGCCTTGGCATCTGCTACTAAAAGCAGAAAAATTACCAGTTACAGCAACAATTTACATCTAATTTAGCAAAATATCCCAAGGTACTCACCAACTGGGCAGTAATTAGCAATGAATCAAGGGATAGAGGTAGTGGGAGAGGTAACTATGCAAGACCAAAACTTTCCCCAAAAACAGATACAGTGTCTTTTGTCTGTATTTCTATCTTCTCATGAAATCCCAGCTCACTTATCGTTTCATCAATAGCTGTATGTAAGTAGTGTGTACACTCATAAAATGGAATTAATGAGGCAGTCTCCCAAATCCTTTCTTCTCCAACTTTGTAGGTAGAATCATTGAATCCCTATAGTGTGGAAGCAGGCCATTCGGCCCATCAGATTCACACCGAACCTCTGAAGAGTACCCCACCCAGACGCACCCCATCCCTGTAACCCTGGGTTTCTCATAACTAACCCACCTAGCCTGCGCATCCCTGGGGACTATGCGCAATTTTGCATAGCCATCCACCTAACCTGCACATTTTTGGACTGTGGGAGGAAACCAAAGCACCTGGAGCAAACCCACACAGACACGGGAGAATGTGCAAACTCCACACAGACAAGTGCCCGAAAATAGAATAGAACCTGTGTCCTTGGTGCTGTGAGCCGCAGTGCTGCCCTGCTGAATTAGGTACTTCCAGGTACTTCCACAAAATTATACCTCAATGTAGTTGCACAGAGATTCTTTAATAACATTAAGACAACTTTTCAATTTACTTCTTATATTGAGGTCGTTAATGCAGCACTAATAATTGCTCTGGTGAAAACATCCTGTTATCTGACTTGCTGTTTTGGTCATCACAGTGCTATGAACAACCCCTTCTGAACTGCTACTCTTGCCATGCACACATTAAAATTGGCAGTTCCTTGTTAGCTATTCCAGAGATAACTAAGTACAAATCTTCAGTTTGGTTCACTTTCCTAGACTGTGGAGTAAAGAGTTAATTATACCTTTACACTCATTATAGCTACTGAGCGTGTATGTAAGGAACTATGTTATGAAGATGTATTAACAAGATGGAAGAGCAGCCCATGAAGAGTCTTAGACAGGCTCTCTCTCTTACTACCCCATGTACATCATTATATTCAATAATATTTGAGTCTAGACCTGAACGTACTATGTAGTTGCAGATGTTAAGAAACCAGGACAAACGAACAACATTGAAAACGGAAGACAAAGAAATCCCAGGAAAAATTCCCAATCTGGCAGGTGAGCAAACACCACAGTCGTTGGGTAGGAACATTAAAAAAAATCTCCAAGAAAGGCTCCAAGGCTTACATCAGGCTCAAAAAAAGCTCCTACTTGAAAAAGAAGAAAAACAACTTAGCAGCAAGCTAAGGGAGAAAGCTCTCAAGGCAGTCAGAAAGAATTCTCAAGGGAACAGCCCACAGCAGATAAAGAGCCTTCAACATCAGTCAGGCTTGAGTGAATGCATGGGAATGGTCTCCAGCACAAGAGAGGACTGGGACCAGTTGGCTGGACAAAGGAAGCATGGGAAAGGTCACAGAAAGGTGACAAGCTGCAGAGACAGTTTGCAGAGAACTCATGTGGAAGAAATAAAATACAAGTTGCAGGAAATGCAGCAAGCTGCAGAATCATTCAGCTGAACAGTACGTGCAAAATGCAGTTATACATGGAGATGGAAAATAAAAGGGCACATGGAAAGCTTGCCAGCAGAAATTGTCAGAAGAATAGGCATGGCCAACATTACAGAGCCCCATTAGTGGACGCTCAATCCAGCCAGTATTATAGAGGGTCATCAATGCCAAGGCACAGTCCATGTCAGAGCTGCTTTAGTAACACTGAAAATAAAACATAGACTGTAGCAGTCTGCTGGTGTCAAAGCAATAGAGGACACGGGGGAGATAGATGAATTCTTCTTTCAGAATGTAACAAGCCTACTGCAGAGTTTCAACTCCACTGAATACTTAGATCCATAAGCTGAACTCTGGAATGAAGATATCATAGTTAATGGCAAGGAAACTAATTTTAAGTTGGATGCAGGATCAGATGTGCCTATTCTGTCAGACTGCTTGCAGTAGTGGCAACAAAATCTTTGTTCAACCATCTTCCATTCAACTTTGGAGCACAGGAGCTATAACATAAGGCAGATTGGGCAGATATAGATTACACTTGTTACAATAGAAGAGAGATGACCGAAACTTTGTATGTCATTCCAAATCACCGCCTTTCTTTATTAAATGGACATGCATATCTGGCTTTAAGTATTCTTTGTTTACTGTTGTAGAAGAAACTTAAGTCGAAACATCAGAAATATATAACAGAGCTTTCAGTTCTCTCAGAAGAGAGGCTGGAAGCATTGGGAAAAGACAGCATCAAGAATGAAGGTGATCTAGCAGCAAGAGACTTTTTGGGACTTAATTTGCTCTTTCAGAAAAGAGAATGTCACAGGTACATAGGAGCTAATGGAAGAAGAGATGCAAGTTGTAGATGAAATAAAACAAAGAACTGTGGATACTGGAAATCTGTAGATATCCTAAATTATAGATGCCCTAGCATTCAAAGGGACAGAGTTCACTCACAAACTAACACCTAGAAGCTTCAGACTTATTAACACGCAGCATGATGCCCACAATATCTAAGACAGTATCAGATTATGAACTAGAAACATGGAACTAAAACATGAAGGAGGTCTCAAAGCTGCAATACAAACTTACAATGATGAGCAAAGAACATCAAAATCACTTAAATATAGTCAGCACACACCTTCAAACCTCAGAAACAGCCAAATAAGAATTAGTTCAACAACTGCAAACAGCTAATGAACATCTTTTAATCTAGGAAGGAAGGAGATGCTTAAGTCTGAATTGGATCAAGCCAATATTGAAAGTTCAGAAATTAATAATTGGCATAGATGTGAGCAGTCATCTACAATTGTGTCTTATCAGCAAGCCATGCAGCATTCAAAGTTTCTTTAGCAAAGAAGCAGAGGCACAAGTTAGAATCTCTACAGCTGAGAATTACCATAAAACGTTAATATGAAACATCAAACGGACCAAAGAGTTAGCGGTGTCTAACTAACTAAATGATACTATTCAACTGCAAGTCCAGTTATTAGCAGTCACATTAGCATTATCATGCCTCAGAAGCTGAAAAGGAATAGTTTCTTATGGAAATCAAACATTTGCTGCCAACTCTTGATAAAGAAAAAGAAGGTATTCAAGTCTGTTACACAACATAAGTGAGCAACTGCTGAAGTTCAAAAATGGAATGTGAATGAATGCAGATTCTTGAACATAAAAGTTGTTATCTGTCCTCAGGAATGTTGTTAGCAAAAATCAGGAACTCACAACTAATAAATGCTTACAGAAAAATTCCATAAGTCCAGTGCAGAGGCAGCCATTGCTCTGGAGAAATTACAAAAAAAGATGATCTGAAGTTGGAAAAGGACTGTCTTTTACTGAAGTGTTTCTCTGAATTCTTTCAAGGGATGTGAGTACCATTGGTGAGGCCAGCATTAGTTGTCCATCTTTTAATTATTCAAAGTTTGAAGGTCACTGTGAATTAATAGTTAAGGAAAACAGTCTGCTATAAACAAAAAGTGATGGTTCTATTTCTGGGAAAATCTTTTGAGAGAGAGAGAGATAAGACATGGTAGTTTAACTTTACAGAATACTATACTGGATTAGCAAATCTTTTTAATGATCTTTCAAAGAAGGGATTAGACCCACAAGTGTGAAGGAAAAAGAAGAGCTTAAGTATTCAACATTGAGCCATTCCAAACTCTTTGATTACATCCAGGCTAGCAAGGATCTGACAGAATGTATTCTGGTATTGTTGAATCTTCCATCAAGTCTTCAGAGTATTTCAGTGGAGCTTCCAAGGGTCCCCACACCTAATGACCATTGGTCAACTTTTGTCAGGTCCAAATGAAGGATTCCCTGAGTATCTAATTTCTTCAACTTTTCCACAGTCTTCTACAACCCATGGTAATAATTATTTTTTTTTTCCCTTGTGACCCAGGAGCCTGGAAGTACATAGAGAATTAATCTCCACTTAAAGAGAAAGTGATAGCCATCCCAGTACCAAAGAAAAGGGCAATGTTTTGCCATAGATTCAAGAGATGTTGTTGTCCACTCCAGACTAGCCTCAAGCCCATGAGAGTTTGGAAGCAGTGATGTTGCCTTACATTCAGATTATGTTCAGATACTGGAACCTCAACCTGACAAAGCTTTTCCCTTTTAAGGGAACCATATAGAACTCATTGCACCCATCCTAAAGAAGGACTGAGGATATTGTTGCAACTTTGTCTTGGTTGGAGGAGACTTTGAGGTGGGAAGTGAGAGTAATAAGCTAAATATTAATGGCCAAAAGAGGTGAAATAATCTGGGAGCAGTAAAGACTTAACTCACCATTTACAGTTATGACTGCTACTGGCTTATGCAAAGGAGTTATGTCCTGATGATATCGCATCAACATTGACTTGAATATGTAGAGTCTCAGACAGGCTCTCTTACCAACCCTTGTATATTGTTGCATTCTCTAAACTCTGTTATTGTTAATTCGCTTACGTGTAGAACTTACTACATAGACAGTGCACAGAGAATGTAGGCCACATGTCACCTATATGAGTAAATGTGGCCAGTTTTACCACACAGATTTCAAAGCACTACAAAAGAAATTAAACTTGCTATTAAATACTGGGATAATGTGTAGCCAGCTACTTAGAGTGCAAATCGTTTGCATGAATAACTTGGTAAATGTATTTCTTTAAGTGAACAGTATTTGAGAAATTGCAGTTCTTTTAATTTAATGAAAAACTACCTCTGTCAAAAAGAATCAGGCATTGGAAAGCTCTGTTTTGTATATGCACTACAACTTATGTATTGTTTCATGACAGCTGTCCACTGCAAGCGTCCAGAACTGCCTGAAAATGCCAACATTGTAGCAGGATTTGGACCCAGTTATAAGTATCGTGAAACAATAACTTACAGATGCGAGCATGGTTATAAAATTGATGGCGACAATGTCATTGAATGCAATGAGAACAGTGAATTCTCACCACCGCCACCCACCTGTCAACTATGTGAGTGACTATAACTTAAACATTAGGATAGAATCGACTGAGTATTTTTAAAAAGATTTGTATTTTACAGGCATTGGTCATTGAAACAATGGCCTTAGTATTAACTAAAACAAAAACAAAATAATTGAAAGAACTGTGGATGCTGGAAATCTGAAATAAAAACGGAAATTGCTGGAGAAACTCGGCAGGTCTGGTAGCATCTATGGCGAGAAAGCAGAGTTAACATTTAGGATCCAGTGACCCTTCTTCAGAATGTTTTTGTTTTGTCTCGATATTAACGATCCAGAGCACTCCCATCCCACCCCAACATCAATGGATGGGAGATGGTTGAAGTTGTAAACGCTTCATTAAAGAAAAAACCAAGCCACCATATATTTCTATTGCAGTTTTTATGGTGGTATATGTGAAGCTGTAGGAGTATCCTCTTTGGATTGGCATTTGACTTAATTAACAGATATAAAGTAGACTCCCAGAGTGCAATTGGAAGCTTCTCTGGTCCATACGAGTTGGGAGTTGTCTAACACATCCTTGACTTGTAGTTAGCTGGTATTAAAGGGCCATGACATGAGCCGCTAATGTCACTGCATGAAGCATCTACCCTGTTCTTTTAGCCATGTAGCGATGTGACTGCTCGTCAGTAGTTCCAGGATGTTGATGACTGCGCTGTTGAATGTGCAGGGGAGGTCATTTTGTTAATCCAAGTCTGTATGTTGTTCACATTCTTCTGTATGGTAGAATTGGCAGATTTATTATTTATTGTATTATCTATTTGAGAATAATGCATTTCTCTCTTGGTAGCTGGATGCAGGGAACCTATGCCAATCAAACACGGAGAAATAACAAATAAGAGACCTGTATACGAGTTACACGAAGAAATTACCTATGAGTGTAGATGGGGCTATATACTGGTTGGCCAAAAGGTCATTCGGTGTGTGGAGAATCACAGATTTGAGCCGTCGCCACCTGCATGCAGAAGAAGTAGGTAACAATTTCTTAAATCTAACTACTGTGAAGAAAGGCTGCAACTAGTTCAAAACTAGTTCTGTGTTATTTTTCTCAATGTTTTCTGTTTGGAAGGTTGGCCTGAAAATTCCTCAGCCTTTCATTATTCCTATATATATATATATTTTTACAACTTAATGCTGAAATTTCCTATCAATTACATTGGTGTATGCCACAATGTAATACTCAGGATAAATAACTGAAGCCTGGGCAAAGTGAAGGTCTTACAACAATAGCAACCTAGATTTACTAAGTGCCTTTAAAGTGATAAATGTCCTGAGACATTTTGCAGGAGTGTTGTACAGCAATCGTGTACACAAGGCACCATAAGGTGCTATTAGGGAAATTGATTACAGGATTAAAAAAAAAGGTGGTAGGTTTCAACGAGCATTTTAGAGGGAAAAAGTAAAAACAGAGAGATTTGAAGGAGAACCAGTGGTGGAGCTGCTCCCATTAAAACAATGGGGTCACTTCGGGAAAACAATGAACTACTTTCAAGGCCAAAACAATTCTTTGAGCTGCACATTTACCTCTTTTATTGTATTGACCCTGTGCCAATTAACTCATGACTCAGGTAGTAATCCAGAGATTATTGCCTTTTGATTCTGCGTTTTAATTGAGTCTCTAGTTGTGCATATTTCCTCAGCAGAACCTTTTAAGTCAAACACATTGCTATCAGCCTGGAGTCACGTGTGGTCTAGACTAAAAAAGGATACAGATTTTCTTCCTTAAGCACTTATTCAACCAGTTTTTTTTTATATATATATATGACAATCAGCAGTGGTAATATACTGGCCATTAGGGTAGCGTTAATTTCCAGATTTCTTTAATTGAATTCAAATGTCACCATTTGGCAGTGATGGGATTTGGACCCATTTCCTCAAAGCATTAGCCAGGGTTTCTAGATCACTTTCCTAGTGTTTTAGATAAAAGAGGATATGGACGGGTTGGTCAGATGAGCTCAGCAGTGGCGCATGAAGTTCAGTCTGGATCAGTGTGGGGTGATGCACTTGGGCCAAACAAACAAGGTGAGAAAATACATGAATGAGTGTTAGGACCTTGAGAAGCACTGAAGATCTGAGAGACATCGGTGTGCACATCCACCAGCCCCTTAAGGCAATCAGACAGGTAGATAAAGTGGTTAAGAAGGTATTTGGGATACATGACTTTATTAGCCAAGGCACAGAGAGCAGAAAGTTTATGTTGGTACTGCATAAAACATTGGTTAGGCCACAGCTAGAGTATTGTGTTCTGTTCTGGAAGCTACGTTAAAGCAGGAATATGCTTTGGAGAGGGTACAGTGGTGAGGGTGCAGTGGAGATTTACCAGGATGTTGCCTGGACTGGAAAGTTTTAGTTATGAAGACAGATTGGATATATTGTGCTTGTTTTCCTTGCAGCAGAGGAGACGTGGTTCAGATATATAAAATTATGAGGGGCATAGACAGGGTAGACAGGATGGAACCTTTCCCCTTAGTGGATGGAACAATGATTAGGGCATAGATTTAAGGTAAGGAGCAAGAGGTTCAGAGGGTAAATGACAGAAAATAATTTCTCCTGAAGGATGGTGGGAATCTGGCAGAAACCCTCATACATTTAAGGAAATGAAAGTGATCTAGAAATCCAAGCTAATTTAAGACGTATTTAGTTGTGCACTTGAAATGCCCAGACACATAAGGGTAACCCCCAGTGCTGGAAACTGGGAATATGGTAGTAGGTGGCTGTTTTTGACTGGTGCAGTCCTGAGGGACCTGAAGGAGCTGTGCTGTAGACCTCTATGACCCTATGACAGTACAACCACACAACTGTCTCTCACTCTTAGCCCCCGTGGCAGGCCAGCCAACTGGGAGCAATACAAACACAGCAATCTTGTACGGCCGTAAACACGATTTTGTGAGATTCATGCAAATCACTGCCCAGTGTCAGGACATGGTCCTTTTAAGACACTAACACATGGAGGTCTAGAAGCTCTTTGGCCCAGCAATGTACCCAGTGGCCAGAGCAGACACTGCACCAGGCCTGGACCAACAGCCTGTTAATCAACTTGTTCAGACATGCAATGACACATCTCTGGAATAAATGGGACTTCAACACAAGTCTTCTGGCCTAAAGACAGGGACACTACCACTGCATCACAAGAACCCTAAGTGACAGTCTCACAGCTTCCATTAGCCACAGTCAGTCAGGCCCAGAAATGAAGATGGTGAGGGCATTACAGATGTTTCTGTAGCAGTGGCTGTTGACATTGGGGAGCCTTCCATGGGGCAGGACAAATTGAAAGGCTTCAGTGGCTGAATGCTGTTCCAATGATGGTAACAATTCACCAACAAACTCCAGAAATATTGAGATTTGTCAGTAAGTATTGTCTATATTGTGCTGGCTGTACAATTCAATCTCTTAACCATCAATCCAGAGCATTGCTGAGAAGGCATTATGACAGAATGAGGACAGCATGACGTTTCAATTTAAAACCAGGGTAAACTTAGTCGATTGACTGGGAAAATGTAAATGTTCAAAAAGCAAATAATATTGATTCAGAAAATAATGAGTAGAGAAATAATCTTTTCTCCTAATATCATTGCTCACTGCAAGCAGTGTCCAAGTAAACACTAACACATTACTCTCTTGCAGTTACTTGTATGGCACTCAGGTATATTAACAATGGCAAAATATTATCAACACGATACAACAGATTTAACTTGAATGCTAAAAGCTATTTCGAACGCACTGGTGGTTTTAAACCAGTTGCCTTGGGGATAAGTACCTGTAAACAAGATGTCCGTTTTCATCTACAAACTGCTTCTGAAAGAGGGAAGGAGTCAATGATGACAGGAATCTGATGACAGAATGAAATGAGACAGTGATTAGAATTGTATCCCATGTGGGGATTTTCCCCAGGCTGTGGGATGTGGTGCGCTGGGAAAATTACTGAAAACCTGTGGATTCCGTTATCTCAACCTGCGCCCACCTTGTTTCTTTTTTCTCATGAATGGGTTTGGTGTGAGAATGGGAAAGCCTGGAGCTGAGCCGAGAAGACCATTAAAGTAACGAAGAAGGCAATTAAGACTCAAAGGAATGGCACCTGGAGTTTTTCCTTCTGCGATAAGGATGTGAGGGGGCTGCAGAGAGGAATGAGTAGATCTGGGAGGGGGTCCTGTTTCTGAGCATACTGGTGAATGCTGGGAACGCCAAAGTATGCCACTTGACACATGGTAGTGTTACATAACGCACCTTTCCTGTCCTCCTTGGGTCTCAAATCTTCATTGCACTGCCTCCAGGTGAGAAGGAGCACATTCCCGCTGATGATTTCCTTGGTAACCTCTGTCCATCTGTGTTTGCTTGGGGCGATTATCTGCTTCCTCATGCTTGTGAGAGATCGCCCCATAGCATCCCAGCAGCTCCGTGAGCTGAACTTCCAGGTTAGAGGGTGAGACTGCGGACAACTTGTCCTGGTTGCTGTGTGTAATGCAGTCTCAAAACTGCAAATGCTGCTGAGTATCCCTGCAACAGGCTGCAGTCCCCTTAAGCAGAATCACAGACAAGAAAGTAATGTTGTTTACTCACCAAGTCTCCCTAGCCAACTGATTGAGAAAGGTGGAGGTTGGCTTGGCATTAGTGTTTTCTGATTTGAGCCACCAGAGAAGTCTTCTATTCTAACATTTAGATTCCCAATTATAAATATTGCCAATCTTGCACCAAAGAATAAAGGGCTTTGATTTTATTTTGTAGATCTGAATTCCCTGAGAACCACATGCCTGGCTTGCTGTTTACAGACCAATTCTCCCATTTTCAATCCAGGCAGTAAGGAAGCTGCAACACTGTACTGGACGGTCTGTGACTGGATGAGCATATTTTCTATCCCTGGTCTGCTACAAAATCAGGGGAATGTCAAAGTTGAGTGAAAAGTGTCCTTCAGACCTGCTCCCATTAGATGAATGAGGTCCCTTGGATAAAAAAGACACTTTCTGGGCCAAAACAATTGCTAGCAAGCAGCCTTGTGACTAATGTTAGTCACTGAATATATGGGAGGGAAGGTTGAAAGTTGCATATTTCAAATTTCTTGCACCAACGATACCATATTGAGAACAAAATGTTGTCATCCACAGTGGAGCTAACTTCATTTTAACAGGATGTTATAAAGAGATAACAGGAAGGGGGACATCTTATTGGAGTATACACTGGGATATAAAGGTCTTTTCAAGATAAAATAAGTTGCTGTGTTATTGTTCAAGTTGTTCACTGATCAGCTGATTAAAGTGCCCAGACGGTTGCATGTTCGCAGTTGCTGGTGTGAAATGTGAAGGTGCTACAAGATAGTCAGCAAATCAAATTTCTGTAAATGGCTGTATATCTGAGGAGTCAATAAGACAGTTTGTTAAGTTTTATTGATAAGGCAGAGCAGAATATCATCAAGGGAATGACATATAGTTCTCTGCTCTCAGTATTCCCTTATTGTAACCATATCACTTAAGCAATCAAAAAAAAATCATGCAGTAGTTGGTCAGCCTTTTAGAAAACAAAGAACTGCAGCATGATAGCAAA